TACTATATGAAATTCGATAGTGGCAGGACCCCACAATAATAAAGAAGCAACAGTAAAACCAACAACATCTAATTTGAATTTAGCGCACAAAAGCAATGGCAGCAGAAAAAATGTAACGATGTAAAAGTTGGAAATTAAAAAGCTAATAAAATATCAGTTGCTTAACCAGCCTGCCGGCAATTTGTAATGACAACATATTTTACACTTAAAATGTCAAATTGTTTACTTGTCTTCGATACGCCTAGAACGTGGAGCAATAGCGTAATGCCTTCGGGCAGCAATCACTGAATTGGCATAGCAAATGATGGCGCGCATGCAAACACATACATACATACATATATATGGATATGCCTATGTGTGCTTTTGTTGCTTATCAGCATCGCAAGCATAGAATCATAAACAAAATATGCAAATACGTTGTAGCTACGATCGTTTTGTATACATCGCATTTACTATGTATTTATGTATCTGCCCGATAAGCGTTCACATGTAAATACATAAATATAAAATGGCATGTTGCTGACATCTGCCTGAAAGTTGTTGTATTTGAGTACCAAGAATCGTGGCAGTTTGTGCTTTATTACCTTGATACATAGCATGTTGCAAAAAAAAACAAATAATTTAGCACGGAATTTCAGAAAATGTTCCAGCCTCAATAACGTTCCTACAAAAGAACCCAACGGCAACAAAATTATTGGAAGCAGTGTTGCCGTTTTAGCCCTTTGGTGGCTAAATTTGGCTACCAAATTTTTTTTTTGGCCACAAAAATTTGAAATTGCCCCTAGCCCTTTTTTTTAGCCCTTTTTAAAATTTATTCATCATTGACATTAAAATTTTTTTGTATGATTTTCATGAATTTAACTCTTCGCTCATAAAGCGAACGCCTTTCCTTTAAGGCAAGTAAACATATGTCTATGTATGTTCCTTACGTTTCTGGGCCGTTATCGTATCCGTTAACGATTTAACTATACATTAAATTATGTGTTACACAAAAAGTTTTTTTGTTGAATAAATTATTAATTCTTTTCAGAGTTCATTGTTTTTCTATACCAGTAATTATAGAAAATGTTTGCGTGTATACTTACATATTTATACTAGCAGTGCTTCTCTACACCAAATATTGAAAAACGAATGAAAAGTCCTAGAATTTTTCTATATGAAAATTTATCATTTGTTTTATTTCAAAATTTTTGATTCTTTATTTTAAGTCTTAATCCAACACATTTGGATATACAACATTTTTTATTTTTCCATCTTGAACAGGCCACGTATAGCTACTAATTCCAGTAATCTACCACAAATATTTCAAGAGATATACCAGAAGAAAACTTTTGTTAGTATGAGTGGTGCCACGCCCCATTTTCCGAATTCGGGGAAACTTAACCCAAACCATCTGCATAATAGCCCGACTATGCCGTATAAATTTGGTTGAAATCTTGCACTTATTCTTTATATATAAGATGTGAGGTACCACGCCCTCTTTTCCAATACCGCCCATTTTTATCCATGAGTATGGAATTATTTGTTATACCTCTATACCAACTTCCAGTACTCTACGACAAATATTTCAAGAGATATACAACAACAAAATTTTAGTTAGTATGGAAGGTGCCACACCCCCTTTTACGAATTCGGGCAAACTTCACATAAACCATCTGCATGATACATCGAATATGCCACATAAATTTGGTTGCATTCGGTGAAGCTGTTCTCAAGTTATGAGGTCACACCAAAAACGTGCACTTATTTTTATATATAAGATGTAGGTAAAAAAATTTAGCTACAATTTTTAGCCACAACAACGATTTTTAGCTCTTTTTTAGCCCTTTTTTAGCTGGAATTTAGCTACCACTAAAAATGTTTCGCGGCAACACTGATTGGAAGCAGTGTTATTGGGAATAAAATGAGAACAAAAGGTTTGGGAACGTTTTCCTAAAGAACGAAATGCGAACAAAGTTCTCGAGAACATTCTCAAGCAGAACAGAATGGGAATGAGACTTTCGGAAACGGTTCCAATGGGAAGAAAATGAGAACGAAAGTATCGAAAACATTTTCCAGGAGGATCTAACCAGAACAAAAGTCTGGGGAATGTTCTGCTGGAGAAGAAAATTAAAACCAAAACTTAAGAACTTAACGTTAAGAATGAGAGAGGAGTCTGCATTTTGCGATGAAAAATCGTTTCAGTGAGAACCATGACTTTTTATTCAAACCCAGATGAATTCTGGGTCAATTTAACTTCCAGGTTGTTTATCATTAAGGTGGACGGACTATGCATATAGGGAAAAAATTTTAATTTCTTGTACAAGAAAAATGTGTGTGCCTTAAGTCTTTCGTTGAGTAAATTTGCATAATTATCTTTCATTAAACTTCTTTTATTAATTTCAATATTCAGATATTTAAAACTAGTGAACGCTTTGTGAAAAATTTTGTTCACGGTTCCATTCTACTTGAAAAGTTCAGAGAAGATTTGTTTTCGTTTAGGTCTCTGTCAGAAAGTTCCTGAGTGTTTAGATCCTCCTCGACGGAAAGTACTTAACACAATGAAATAAAGCACATTTGTGTTAGTTCTCATTCAATTGGAAAAAACACAAATTTGCGCTATTGCCGTTTGTGTTATTTCATCAATATTACGTTTCTATTTGATTTTAATATTTTTCCCCCTGAGCGTAGCAATTAGCATTATTTAAATTTAAAACTAATTCAAGAATGAATTAAATAGAATTATGACGAAATGGCATGATAAGATTAGTTGCCTGATAGCTCTTTGGAATCTAACTTACGGGCACTAGCGCCGCCGATTCTTTTGTAGTTGACCACGCCGCCACAGCAAAGCCTGTCGGCGTAAACGTCTAATATGCATATATGTACATTAAAAAAAACTTTTTTAGTGATAAACCCTAAACGAACTAACAATGAAACAATCAAACGCAAACTTTTTAAACTTTACGGCATTTATATAAACAACTATTCAATTTTTCGCGATTTTATGATGATCGCGCGCACCTGAGGCCGCCAGGCAACAATAATGGCAACAAGTATTAGCCAGCCACTGACTCTCTGCAAGCGCCTGCGCAAAGCCATTGAAAAGTTAGCTACGCATGGAAAATAAAAATGTATGTATGAATATATGTACGTACATAAAAAAGTTGTATGCAGCTTGTATATATTTATTATTTACATACGTATGTATCTATATATCTATACTGTTAAGTGTACGCCTTTCTTAGCCCACTACAAACTTAACACAACAACACGAAGCCAACAACTGGAAATTCCACAAAATTCTCCAGCAGCGCACTCCTCGTGGCAGGTGTGGCATATGACCGCTTTTGCGCTGACTGCAACGGAGGAATCGATGCCGTTACTTGTTGAACGCTTAACTGTTCTATGCGGCAAAAATTAGCAGCAAGAGTATTAAGCATAGCCACACACTACTCTTTGTATCATTCGGAGTTGTAGTAGTACTTAGAATGAAATTCGAATGCCATTGCTGCATTGCCTATGGCGTTATTTGCCATTCAGCATAGCATAAATAGTCGTAAACAACGGAAAATATTATCTAACTTTCACATGAATCGCGAATGTCTCCATTGCTGTCGAAATCGTCTTTCCTTTTACTACTACAAACTTGCTGCAGTTCGCATTCGCATTATCGTACAAAATATCAGATTTTTATTATTTTAGTGATTCTTTTCAAAGATAACTTCATTTACAAAGTTGTGGCTCGACCTCAAAACTAAATAAATTAGGGTCAAGAAGGGGCGGCAAAGAAAGAAGTGAATCCTTAGAAGCTATGCAGTATTAAAAAGCAAAGCTCTGTTGCGGCTTTAAGTTTAAAGCGACAATCTAGGGGACGGTAGACTTGCATGCCCCCCTGCGAGCTAATATTATGGTTTCCACTTTGAAAGTTGCTTCGCACAGTCAACTTGAAACGCAAGCGATTATTGTTTCAAAAGGTAGTTACTAGTAGGAACGCAATTAGTGCAGTTTTTCGCTATTTTACTTTTGCGCTTCTCGTGGCAAATGAGTTTTAACTAAGAATTCGGGGTCGACCCTTCTGGATACCCTATGAATTTAGGATCCTCTAAGAAATTCTGGGCACCTTCTTCGCTATTTAGCTTCTATTAAGAAGGCCCATATAAATCGCCAACCACTTCTGCTGCACCGTTATCAGTGTCCTGTAGTGGAAGTTTGACAATCGCCACGCAAAAATATTGGCAAAATATGCATTGAATTAAATCAGGGTTTGAAATGCTTAAGCAATATTAGCAAAAGCAAGGAAAATATGCTGATACTGTGCTTCTGAAGTTGTCTTGCTTCAAAAGCAATATTCTTGCTTTTCCCTTGTCTTCAACAAAAACGAACAGCCACAGCAGCAGCACGAGAAGAGCTGAGAGGCAAACGATCGTTTGTTTAGCAGCACGATAAGAGCTGAGAAGTTAACTATCGTTTGCTTTCCGGCTCGAACTCGATCCTTATCAGCAAATGAATTTTGCTTTTGCTTGCATATTGAAAAGCACGAAAGCAGAAGTAAAAGCAATTGATCGGCTTTGGCAGATCGTCAGTTGCCTCTGCTGTCATATTTGAAAAAATACGAATAGCCACACCAGCAACACCAAACATGCTGGGTTGCTTCACGAGAAGAGCTGAGAGGCAAACGATCGTTTGCTTTTCAGCACAAACTCGATGCTTCTCAACAAATGAATTTTGCTGATGTTTGCATGATGAAAACTGTGAAAGCAGAAGCAACGGAGCGGACATGAGCATATTTCCTGTGATACGAAAAAACCAAGTAACTTGTCTTTTGTAAAATGCAGAAAAATCAAGGTTTTTTGTGTAACTAAGTTAGGTTTTTTATATCTTTTTGGTACCTTGTTGTATTTCCATTTTACTTTATGCCTGTTAGAAAAAAAGGTTGTTTTTCAAGAATTCGAAAATAGATATTTACGTTTATGTATTTAAATTTAATTATTAAAAAAATTTAAAATATCAATAAACAATTAATCTTGTTCCTCATCCGGGTGTTGAAAGAGTGGCACATTGTCTATAGCAGCTTCGAGGAAGTTCGGATTCAGCTTTACTAGCAATATGTTTTCCAATGTTTCCTCACTTAACCGATTCCTGGAGTCCGTTAGTATTAGCTTCAGCATGGAAAATGCACGTTCAATCGTCACCTGTTTTGTGAAAAGACCAAACGTTTTATTGAATTCAATAAAATTTATATTTAATTATTTTATTTATTTATTTATTCAATAAATAAATTAATTACATTAAATAAACTAAAAGGAACTCATAAAAACTAAATAAAATAAAATAAAAATAAGACTTGTAAATTATATATACACATACATATTATATGTATTAGACTGTGTCAAATAAAACGAATGCGATAGAAAGTTTTTTTCATTGCAAATTCTTATTTTTGCGAGCGCTAATTGAAAAATGAAGATAGAGGGCTGAAATTTTGCCGACATTATTTTTTTGTAACCGCCCAGCAAAAAATCGGTAATCGCTTTTAGTGGTAACGTGTTCTAGAAGGCATAGCGTTGTAATGCCTTGGAATTTTTTCGCTTCTTTTAGGCATTGTCGGTAATGCAAAGTAGAATATTTTATTTATTTCGCTTCTTTGTTTCATTTTGGGGAATGCAAAGTAGAATGTCCTCTAATATTTCTTTCTTAATTCGCTTCTTTGCTTCATTTCAGGGAATGCAAAGTAGAATGTCCTACAATATTTTATTTTTTTCGCTTCTTTGCTTCATTTCAGGACATGCAAAGTAGAATGTCCTACAATATTTTTTTTATTTCGCTTCTTTGCTTCATTTCGGGGAATGCAAAGTAGAATGCTGCATCGTAGTCAGCTGAAAAATAAAATGAATATCCAAAAAATTTTTTTCTACCGTTAGTTTCTGTGGAAATTTGTCTCGCATAAAAATCATGTTTTGCTTTGTTCAATTTGCAGCGAAGTTGAAGTCAGTCAATGAAGTGAAGTACATGAGTGAGGAAGTACAATTTTAAGCTTAATTAAATATGCATGTACATACCGATTTTTAAGTAAAATCTAAATACCCAAATACATAAATATGTTTGTATAAAAACTGATTTATAAAAATTTTAATTAATTTTAATCTTTTAAGACATTTTCTGATTTAATATAAATAAGTGTGTACTCATCTGGGCATTCTACATTAGTTTCTCTGTAAGGCATTCTTTGTTCGCTTCTCTGGATTCTGTTTATCCATGCGTTCTCCCTTCGTTTGAAGGTAATGCTGCGGGTAAGGGATTACCGCCAATGACATGCCCATGTTAAAATAATGCCTTCCTGAAGCGAAAGGGTAAGCGATTCCCATCGCCTAGCTCGTTTCTTCTTTCGCTTCTGTGGTAATCGTGTTTTTTGCTGGGCGACAACGAAATTATGATATGGGGCCGAAAGAAAAAACATTCGTTTTATTTGACTCAGTCTAATACATACATATATACAGTGGTCGAAATAATTTTAGCCACACCATATTTTGACAAGTTTAAACACATTATTTTTGTTGTTATTTAATTTTGGTAATTTTTTTTTTAAATAGTTCATTCTTTAACAAAACCCGTGTAGATCCAAATTTCAAACTTAGTGCAATATTAAAAAAAAATTCAACAAACTTTATTAAAAATTTCTAGCTTTTTTAATTGGATTTCCTAGAAAGATACCGTTGATTTTTTTTAAATTTTTTTTTGTCGAAGATGTTACGGGTTTCTTCCATATAAAAATAAATTTGGTGTATTTGGTTATATGGAAGCAAATGTGACAAAAAAAATCTAAAACATCTACGGTAATTTTTTGCCATTTGAAACTTGTACTTTGTTCTACTAGAATTCAATGGGCTTTAAAAGTGCATACCCAGAATCTTTCTAAGAAATCTAATTAAAAAGCTAGAAATTTTTAATTAGGTTTGTTGTTTTTTTAATATGGCACAAAGTTGGAAACATGGATTTACACGGGTTTTGTTAAAGAATGAACTAGATTTAAAAAAAATAACCCAAATTACAACAACAACAATAATATGTTAAAACTTGTCAAAATATGGTGCGGCTATAATTATTTATTATTATGATATATATACCTGAGTGGGTGGTATTGCAAAGCAGACATTGCTTAACGCGTACATCTCTGGATCAGTAAACTGCTTTTCCTTCCAAAATATTAGAACGTTTGAATCACTTCTTAGGATTGGTAGCTGCAGATTTTTAATTTTTGTATGTACATCGGTAGCAGTACCAACGTTAGCTTCAATACCTTGCGATAAATATTCGTTTAATAATTCATCTTCAACATCAAAAAATTGGTTGGGTGTTTGATGTGCACTTGAATTCGGGTTAGTTTCATTAATTCTATCCCATATTGTTTTTAAATATTGTGTTGCTTCCATTTTTTGGTTCGCTGTTAAGGTGTGATGGAACCGAGGATCCAAATACAAACATGACATCAAACTGTTATTGCGCATTAACGTGTTTGTTCTTTTTTCAAAGGACTGCAATATCATATCACCAATTGTTTTAATTAGTGGGTGGTTCGAATCTTTAATAATTTTTTCCGTGCATATTTTGCATTTGAGTCATTGTGCGTAGAAATTACCATAGTGAAGTTGCTCTTCTTGAAATATTTTTATAGCTTTTTGCAATGGACTAAATACGAGGCAATAGCTGCCGATGAATTCCCAAAAAGAGTCGTCAATCTCGAAATTTTCGTCTTGGCTCTTATATTTAACGGACTCGATTTTTGTTAGAACGTCTTTTGCTGCCTTCAAATTTTCTACCATTGTGAAGGTCGAACCCCATCTTGTTGGACAGTCTAGTTGCGGCATCTTCAATTGCTTCAATTCAAAAATATCTCGATATCCGTTTGTTGTTTTTCTCACATATTTTGTCAAATTACGGGATGCTAATAAGTATTTTGTTATAGCTGAGGATTTTGTCACGTCAAGAGCACAAAGTTGCGCAGTATGAGCTGCACAGCGGCAAACTTGAATGTTGCCCAATAACATATCTGGTATTTCCTCCAAAAGTTCAATTTTTTTGAGATATTCATCATTTGTGCAGTCTGCTTCATATTCTTCCGATTCTTCTTCGGAAACAAAAGATAATATTTTAGTTGCTTTGAGCATATTTGCGCCATTATCCGACGTAACTGACACTATCTGTCTTAAATCAATGTCATATTTTTTTAAGATTTTTATAATTTCGGTGGCTAGATTTTTGCTTGTACTCGATCCAGCACCCTTCAATTCTACCATCCCTAAGATGCGTGATTTCATCAGCCCATTACTTATAAATTGAGCGCTAATGCCAAAAATGTTTTTCTGCATAACCGCGTAGCACTGTCGATTTTTAATGAGATCAATTTTTTTTTTACTTCAGTGCTTATGTCGTTTCGTACATTGTTTGCAACTAATTGCAACGTTTTATTGCAGTTGGTCGCATTCAAACATATTTGTTTTCCGTCTGTGGCTTTAAGGCCTTCACAAATGGGAATCAAAATATTTCTCATATTAGGCGAATTTAATATATTAAAAGGAATAGAATCTTCGGTGACAAGACCAGTAGTAGTAGCTGCTTTTTGTTAATTTCAATTTTAATTTTCTTTATGCGTATCACTTTTGATAAAGAACTCGTCCTTGAAGTTTCGACAGTATTTACATTGTGTAGTTTGATTAAGTGTGCTTTTAGATTTGCAATTCTATTGTTTTTAAGTTTATTTTTACATGTTTTACATGTAGCAAAACCGTCGTTTTCATTATTATCAAAAAACTTCCAAATTTCATTTTGCTTATTTCTCGCCATTGCCGTTAAAACACTAATAGCCACCGATCTGTTTGACACACATTCACAAACTGAAGCAATTAAAAAGCAGAATCAATGACAAAAGAAATATGTACATAGCTTAAAACAGTCGACGGCGACAGTTACAATATTTGCCGAAGCGAAAATGATGTGCTGCTTCAACTTCGGAATTCGCCAAAAGTTGCAGTCAGTGAAACTAAAAACTGTCGAATGCTTTGATTAGCGAAGTGCTTCGCAGTCTTTCAGCGATCAATTTTTGCTTTTTGTTCGACTGCGACTGATGCATGTGAATGCTGACGGCTTGTGAAAGCAGAACTTCTGTTTCTTCGACTGCCACTGTTGACGACTTGCAAAAGCAGAGATATTGCTTTTGCTTTGACTTGAGCTACTGACCAAAAGCATAAGCAAGGCAAAATTAAAATTTTCAAACCGACGGCTGCCGAAGGTGACGCGCATTTTATTAGTAATCGTTTTCGGCGTTTGCTTCAACTGAAGCTGCCGTTATTTCCAGAAGCATAAGCACAAGCAAAAGCAAATAAAATAAAATTTATTGCAGTTTTTAAACACTGGAAATATGTATTTATACAAAAACCAATTTACATATGAAAATGCCGGTGATGACGCCATCAAAAATTAAATGCGGATGCCCGGTTGGCGACCACTGAAAGGCATATGCCAGCATGAAGTCCTGAGTAACATAAAGCGGCCATCAGAACAGGTCCATGAAACTGACACTTGGGTAAATTGTATGGTTTTGTATGGGGATAACCAGATCGCCTGTATCCAGCAAAAATCTAATTTCTACATTTCACCGATGCAATATTCAAGCCGTGTAAAGTAAGCCAATTTGAGCAACGGTATTCCACTAGTGTGACTATTTAGGAACAGAACCTTCTGCTTCATTCGTTTCTCAAGGACATTCTTGTGGTGAAACTGTTTTTAAAAAGCCAAAGTCGGTGTCGGGTAGAGCAGGTGCTTGAAAATTTACCAGACATGACTCTAGAATTTTGGGGTTACCAAATTCTGTGTCCTTCCATTTGATAAGAGCATTTACAGGGCCATTCTGGCAACTGTATTTCAAATCACCACAGTCCTTCGAAGGACAAAAGTCTTCCATAAGACAATTGTCAATTCTGGCAACTAACATGAGAGCCCTTTTCTGTCTCTCGAAAGATTAATTGAAAGATCTGCTAACGGGGATGTCACAGCGTTATTCTGTTTGTCTTATAGCAATAAGTTTTCTTAAAAGAAAATTTAATAATATTTTTATTTCAAAAACAATAAAATCTATAAATTAGAAAAATATTAAATTAAAAAATAAAAAACCTTTAAATTAAAAAAAATAAAATAGATTTCTAAAAAATATATGAAAAAAATATTAATATATTTTAAACAATAAAATTTAAAAATTCCAAAAAAATTAATTTGAAAAAAAAAACAATAAAATAATTTTTTTTTAAATTAAATTAAAAATTTGTTTAATTTTTAAATCACAAAAACTAAGGGTTTTAAAAAATTAAATAAAACAATTCAATTTAAAAAAATATATACACGTAAAACATGTTTCTAAAAACTTAGTGAAACAAAAAAATATTAATTTTTCTGTTTAAAACACTAAAATCTAAAAATTAAAAGAAAAAAAAATTAAAAAAAATGTAAGTTTAGTTTTTATTTTTGGCCGTCTTATTATAACTTATACGTTGATTTGGAGCTTCAGGCTGGTTGTTAAATAAAACATAAATTTGAGTAGTAAAACTACATTTTATTAGATTTATTGTTGTCGATATTTCGCCATCAATCTGAAGGCGTCTTCAGAAATTATTGGGTTTTTCCAGTTGACTGGAAGCTAACAATCAACGTATAAAAGAAAAAAAATAATAATTAGAAACAAGTAAGAAAGTCTAAGTTCGGGCGAAGCCGCACTGAACCAAAAAAATACTAAAAACCGCCGTAAAGTTAACATTTTTTGTTTACAATTTGCAACTGAAGTGAAAAAATGTTAATTTTAACATTTCGACACTATCATTTTTACGTGAAATTTATGTACATGAAACACGTAAAATTAACATGGCTATCATGTATTATTGATATGATACTCATGTATAATTAACATGATATTTATGTAATACTTACGTGACAGTAACGTTAAAACTACATTCAAAAATTGTTAATTTGAAATGATACTTACGTGACAGTAACGTTAAAACTACATTTAAAAAATGTTAATTTCAAATGATACTTACGTGAGAGTAACGTTAAAAGTACATTTAAATAATTATGATTTGAAATGAAAATCACATCAAATTGAAATTATTTTCAATAAATTAATTTTTTTTTTTTAAATAAATAGGCACATATTTACATATTTTTAATATGAATAAACAGGTACTAAAAATTCTTATTTCTTATAACAGGAGTTCCTTCGTAAATGTAGTACAAATGAATAGGTGGGCTTGTGAAAAACTCAACATTTTTTAATTCAATAACATTGTTTATACAACCCACTTTGTACGATTGGTAGTGCTCTAAGAAACCAATAATTTCATATTTGTGGACTAGAAAGTAAGCCTCATTATTTAAACTTATAAGTATTTCTTTTATTTCATATAGTTCAATGACTTCGTCAGTAGTTTTTGTTAAAAAGTGGCCCTTTTTATACGTCGTTCCCTTAAAGTTTACTGATTTAACTTTTAAATTATTTGCGAACAAAGATTCAAAATCTCGAAAATTCACGATATTGTTAAAATACCTACAATCTTTAATCCGAAAATGCTCAGTTTGTTCATATTGAGTTTGGTTAGGAAACCCATCGTTATGGACCCTTATAAATGTTGTAAACTTTAAAGATGCTTTCATGCTTAGACTATAGGTTATATTTTTTCTGGAAGTAATACTTCTTGCATACATTTTTGCTTCCTTGTGCTTAGATTCGAATCGAAAAGTCCATAAGTATTTAAGAGGGCCTGATTGTTTTATGACACGCACATAATGATTTAAAAAGTGAAATTTAGGTTTAAGGGGCTTGTGAAACAATTCCAAATACTTTTCATTATGGGATTTTATTAAAGAATCTAACTTAATTAAATAATTTGTATCAAATGAGCTGCTATTAATCATGTCAATAATTTTGAGGAGCGTTAAAAAAATAACCAACATTCGTCGTTGTCTGGAATGCGATCTCCTATGATTAGAGGAAGGAAATGTACAAACGTCATCATTTCTCTAGCCGACATTTTGAGATTGCAACTAGAAAGGTGTGTTAATTCAAAAGGAGGTGATAAATTTACGATTTCCGTTTCACCGTAGTTAAACATCTGCTTCCTATAGTTAAATGCTTCTAAGGAAAATAATTTCTTTTCAATTATGAAGTATTTTAGAATTTCACAAATATCATATTTACAAACTCCCTCAAACAAATCGTGTACTATATCTACCGCAAAATTAGTTGTTGCATGAAAAGATATTAAATCATTAAACAGGCAATTCGATTTTATACCAGTAAGCTTAATGTCGTTAGTTGCTAATGCCGCATTATAATTTTCCTCAGTCCTGATGAAGTCTGGATACTCCACGCAATCTAAATGCATCTCAGCTTTGTTTCTCCTACAGAATCGGCAATAGTAATTCGAATTGAAAGAAGTTGTAAAACCAAGAACGTCATTTAAGCCTAAATTATCACCAAGAATATTACACATTACGAAGTAAATTTTTTCAGTACTATTATTTAAATTAAATTGTAGACCGTCTTCTTCAAGAGACTTAAATATATCAATTAGTGGCTTCATAAAAGGCTCATCTCCAAACATTTTTTGTTCTTTACTTTTGAAGTATGCTGCTACAAATATGTAGTTCAGATTAGACAATAGATATTGCGGCAAAGTTGGAAAAATATAATAAACACCACAAATTTTGTCTATATTTGCATGACTACCCAGCGGATTATTAATTTCAAAGCTATCCATGTAAATGAAAAACGGTATTATAGTTTTACCAACAAAAAACTTTAACTTTTCTTTAAACGAAGCTGAGTTTATAAAATGCGTGATTGAGGATGAATTAACCAGGTCTTTTATATTATTTAAAGTAATTTCCAGAACTGAAGGCAATTCGAAAAATTTTCGAATTTAAAATTTGATCGGCATTATGCAACCAAACACATTACCTGCTTCTAAAGTTGGTCTATTATTTATAATAACTTCACACAATTCATTGTTTATATTAAAAAACTGTGGTTTTGAAAATTCGTCTGATTCTTCAATGCTTTTGAATAACTTATATTCGGTTTGAAAGTCTTTGAATGGGTTTTCGTAATAATTAACTAAGTCTATAATATCTTTTCTTTCATTTTCAGGCGTATAGCAAAAAAGTTTATTTTTTAATGGTTCCACAACGCTAAAAATTATCGCAGACACACTATCCTGAATTGATAGAACATCTTTTCTGGTCATGTTGC